TGATCCCAGTTTAATGAAAATGACAAAAGTTTAATGAGGTGCAAATTAATACAAGAATGCCAAAAAGGCAATAATTATTTGCAGAAATAGTGGTAACAAAAATCCATTAGTGTCATTGTATGTGTCGAGGTTCCGTTTAATAAGCCTTGGCCAAGAAACATGTTCTGCTTGTGAAATAGTTACAAACAGTGTGATACTTTATCAATGTAAATGTTTTAATTGATACAAATTATATTGACTATGGCCCTGAAACGTCCAGGAAGTACGATGACAATATTGACTTTTTTTGAAAATAATTACATTTGCGTTTTAGCAAAAAACGCGTATATTACATTAAAAATAGCTGATACGTGAACATTAGTAAAAGAAGATAAAATATACAATATATAGCTCATAGAATGTAAACTAGAAAGCTAGAAAATAGATGATTTATTTCTGGCTTGCATTTTAAAAGCTCCCGGGAGATGTTGTTTCGAAAATCATTGCGAATAAAGTCGCACCGCCAGCGACGAAAAGAGTCATTTTCCCTGAATAATTTTGTTTTTCAGAATTTTCTCTGTTTTAAGTTCTTTCAGAATCTGTCCCAGTTTCTAAAAGGCTAATACTTTATTGAATAACTTTTAGGTCGCGCATAGTACGCGAAACGCTCAAAGGGGGGGGGGGAGTACCACGTAACACTTAATATCGCGTATTCGTGGTCCATATTTGACGAACGTTATTTGTCGCGTCTTCAATCGGTTGGCTAAAGCAACCCATGTGAGAAAATCAATTTTACCTTTATTCGATATAACGTAAATGGTTAAAACGTGATAAATAGAGTGGATTCGTACTTACATTGGCACAAAACAACCACAACAGTCAACGGGTAAAGAGTCTGATACGGGATATTGATTATCCACGACTGTTACACGATTGCCGCGAATGGTCACGGATTGAGTACACGCACACACAGTATTGATTGACCCTATAAATATAAATAACTACGCTGAGGTTACTTACTGTTTATCAATGTCAACTTAGTTTTTGTAACTTTGCGTAAATGAATGATTGCTATATTCACACCTAAAAAGGGCACATGTCACACCGGGTCGTGTTTGATATAGGCCCCGTACAACGAGTGTAAAATACATTGTTTACGCGAAATTCGGACGAGAGATGCGTGTCGACTGCGTGATTTAACATCCGTCTTTAAGAAAACCGACCTATGTGTGGTTGATTTCCAAAATTGCACATCGATTATCAATTTTATAGCACCAACCAATAGAGTAACACTACCATTCTATCGTACAATTGGTGCATAAATTACCAAGAATTATTTGCGCACGGTGTTAAGCTGACTGGTACAACATGTTGCAAATCATACATGTCTGTTACCATAGTAACATATGACTTCAGACGGACAAGTTCATAATAGGCAGTGCATGCTTACTGATCCAATGCAAATCGTCGTCCAATGTAGCGATGTCTACATTGGCTGTCTGTACCACCTCTTAGCAACACCAACTTGCCCTCTCAGTGGAAACGAATACTATGTTTGTTTGAATACTACGATGAAGACTTTCCGTTTTCGACAGTTGTGAATTTTTTTTTTTTATTTTTAAGTAAAATCATATTTATTGAAGTTATTGTTCATACATGAATTGTTGAACACACTGCATAGTATGTAATTTCATTCAGCTTATTTCAGTCATAATTCAAGACATATAAAAAGCAAATATATAGAGAATATAGCGAATTATCTTTTTTTCTGTAATATTCTTGTGTAAGCAGTAATTTTCATCCGTATGCATATGTAATACATTTCGTTGTGAATGTTCTTAATATATTTCTGATCGTCCTTGTCAAAATCAGTTGTTTCCAGTTTTGTCCCAAAAAGAATTTCGCAATGTTGAAAACAGAAAATCGTAGTGTCTTTTTTTTTGGGGGGGGGGGAGGAAAACCAATGTCAGACTTACACATGCTATCCATGTTGTATATTTGAAATATACCGTGACAGGAATTGGTTTTGTGGTATCTTTTGTATCACGATTTTTTATAAATATATGGAATAATATAATAACACAGAGACCAATAAGAAAATATTTACATTCGATTTCGACGTATTCTTTCCACAGAATACTGTGAACAAAATAAGTGATAACTGTAGATTGCCTTGTTTTGAGGAGTTACAGAGTTTTACTAAAAAAACAAAAATAACGTATACCGTTGTCGCCAGGGGCGGTATACACGTGTGTCGATTGACGTATGTGGAACAACTGCCAAAGTACTAAGAGTGCAATTGAATTAGGGAGGAACAGTGCGCCCTCGCAGGCCACCATATTGAGGGAGATTGTGTTCCCCTGTATTGCACCATAGTGTATATTAAGCGTGTACCCACTAATAGTACTAAAAGTATGAGACCACTGATCGCCGAAGAACACGTACAATAATTATTGTTCATAATAGTATTGAATGAAAACATGTTAATTGAATCAGTATCATGACATTTAACATCAAACTAGGATTTCACATCAAGTTCATCTGTAAAATGTAATACTTAAATAAAGTAAATTCATCTGTGATTCGAGAAAATGAACACTTTTCCAATTAGGTATTTTCTGGTGTGTGTTTTTATACAGGTAGGCGTCACGCATGACATCACGTCTGCAAAGTTACCCTATCTTTCACATTGATGAACTTAATGACCTTTTGACGAGACTTCTGCATTATCGTGTGGTCCATTTAACTGCACCGAGGCATATAGTGGGCAAAGTTTAATACTAGCTCGCACACCATCATACCTACGTATCAGTTTGATCAGTAGGTACGGTGCATCAACATGACGAGCAGCAAAGACGATCTACGGGATCCAAAGTTTTGGCGAGCTGTCGTTGGAGAGTTTCTCGCCACCACCTTATTCGTGTTTATCGGGATAGGTTCAACATGTGGCTGGAATCCACCGTATACCCCGAGTATGGTACAGATAGCACTGTGTTTTGGACTCACCATCGCCACAATGGTGCAGTGCTTTGGACACGTCAGTGGAGCGAATATCAATCCGGCAGTAACTTGTGCGTTGCTCGTTACAAGAAAAATCAGTTTTCTGCGGGCTTTTCTCTATGTGATCGCCCAATGTATCGGCGCGGTTGCTGGCGCTGGCTTGATTTATGGTGTTACGCCAGCCGGTGTCCGGGGAGGTCTCGGGGCGACTTCACTCGGTACTGGCGTTGCCGTCGAGCAAGGATTCGCCATCGAGTATTTGATAACGTTTGAGTTGGTGTTCACAGTCTTTGCTACCATCGATCCGAACAGAAAAGATCTACAAGGATCCGCCTCATTAGCCATAGGAATAGCCGTTGTTATTGGCCACTTATTTGCGGTAAGTCAACCATAAAGTAAAAAAATAACCAAAAACAATATTTATTGAAACGAAATTTTAAATTAACAATAAACCGATGGTATATGATTTAACAACATCCCCACATAGAATAAAGAACGCGCAATTTATAAAATAACTCCCTATCCACAATAAGTAACATATTACAAGAGTACCTTTGCCACGAAACTAGTCGCGGTTGTTCAACAAGCACATCGGTGTTGGCCACGATTCCAAGTACTGTACACAAAGGTTGACGCTGTTATCCTGCTCGTCAAGGCCACGTCACTGCATTTCGCTAACTATTTCTATCGGCGTTCTTATCGCTACCAAAGTTACGCGTTACCATTATGTGCATAGTTCACGCAGATAACAAAAAATAACCTACCATTAAATAATAATAGTAATTTTTTTTAAACATTTTTCTAGTGTTATTATGCATTAATTTTAAACAAATACATGTTTGTTTACGCTCATAAACTTATCCAACGTCAACCGATTACCAAATATATATGAAAACAACTTTAAACATTTTATGCTCAGTCGGTAGGATAATTCGGACACCTCCGACAATCCCTACTGCAGTAGGAACCTTGGTTCCGAATCTAGTTTCGCAGACACGGAGAGAATAGTTCCTCCTTGAGATATACTTAAAAAATGGGCAACGGTCAACACCGAACTATGTTTGTAAACAGAGCGGTTGAATGGTGACCATTCGTCAACGTCATCGCCCTAAACCTTTCGTGAGCTTCAACAACAATGTGTTTATCCAACCCAAGTCGTACTATTTAAGACACTGGATGTGCGAAATATACACGTATGTATGTCACGAATACGTAAAATGATGCTGACCGATTTTTATTTTCATGGGCGGGGCAAATCTCACACTGCTGCCACCACTTTTTTTTTTATTTGCGACAAGGAGGCCAAGATATGCCAAACAAGATCGGCATACTCGTTGTACGGATGTAGCGTACATTATTTTATTATCACAGCTTAGCTCGCTGTCACCTTGTCACCGACCACATATATTTGCTAGCTATTTTAAGAACTGTTACTGTTGGTGTTTCATATTACCTGTTCATGGTCACCCGTGATATTGTTTGCACGCTTAGAGTCAACGACGAAGCTGCTAATAGCAGCACTTAAACTTTAAACCATTGAAATTTTTTTAAAAGGTCTTAAAATCAACGATTTATACACTGTCCATTCCACGTTTTATGAGCAGCCCGTTCAATGTCTAACCGCCCCTCCCCGTATAATGACTCGTTCTGTATGTATGTATGTAAGTTGATTGGTTGGTTGATGTATAGCAGATATAACATATTGGTACACAGCTCTCGCGGACTTTTGTCAGTCCACCGGGGAACCGACATCAATATTGTGAAGGGCTTGTTTGAACATATTGGGTTGGGTAAAACCATGGAGGTAAAAAATATATTTTTACCTCCATGGAAAACACGCAACACGGCAAATTAATTTTGTTACAAATGCGACGAGATATAAAAAGAACAATGCGTTGCAAGCTCACTTCATGTGCAAAATTGGCTGTATTCCTTCTAGATCTATGGACAGAATTTATTCTGTTAAGGCATAAACAGTGCGTAAATTATGGCGATCGAGCGGACATAGCGGACATTTTTTACCGAGAAGAAAAATGCAGTCCAGTTCAGGTGTTTATTAGAGACAATACTATGTTTCTATTGACTCGTACTTAATTTAACAAAAAAATACACTTCTTAAATTGAAGGCACATTGTGAGTGACTTTTCGAATATTGGTATTCTTGCGATTCGTTGTCATACCAACAATAATCATGTTTAGACCACGCGATTTCATGATT